AACAAGGGATGCTCCAATGAAGTTTCTTTAAATGAAAGATCCTATCTTTTTTTCGTTGAGGAATCACCTCCTTAAATGTTTCACACTTATTCAATTACACCCTGTATATATTTCATAATCATGTTAACGTCAAACTAGAAGAACGTTTCTACTATAAAATTCCACTATGAACTCACTATTTGACACTTGTTCAAATTTTTAACTCACCTATCAAACCATTAACCTATTGAAAAATTTACGGAATATTTTGGATAAACATCTTTTTCGAAATATTTACTTTGCTCAAGCGGAATAAAGATTGAGCTAGTTGGATTTTGTTTTTGCGATTGGTTTTCATATGAGACTAGTGGTTTTGCTGCTCATCAGATAATTATTATTTAAAGCTTAGACTTTGAGCGATTTATATTTTTGAATTGTGCATGCACATTTTCAAAAATAAGGGCGATTTCACTAAAATATCTACTATTGCTAATAAAACCAAAAGATTCGAAAATGATTTTGAATTTCGGCCAACAAAATACAACATATCATACAAATCACCAGATATTGCTTGACTAACAAAATTTGATAACTATGAAATAATTTGTAGTCTGTTGATGAGTTTCTCAATCTGTGTATGTCATAATTTTTGTTGACCATTCCTATATTCGTAAAATCACTGATTATCAAAACTTCTCCACCATTATACAAAAAAAATGTGGAAATCTTCCAAAGAAAGAAAGAGAGCAATTAATTCCAAAATAAACCGTTCACAAAGATGTGTATATCATTCAAAAACACAACGTTTTTTTCCAGATCATGTCCCTCCGGTCAACACCATTAAGAAAAATGGAGTCGTTCACGATAATCAGAAGCACAAACAAAGACCAAACATCAACTCCGCCGCCTTTGACAACTCCACCAGTAACAAACTGAACGAAATAAAGAAAGCTCTGTCACTGAGAAACGTTCAATCGAATAACACGCCAAGTGTATCAAAAAGCAGATCAGAAAATGAACTTAGAAGTACTGACGACAAACCTTCAAAGCCAGAAACATCGAGCGGTTCAAAAGAAGACATCTCACCAAAAATACCCTTCAATGGAAGGGTTGACGGTGGTCAAAATGAGTTGGAGAAGCAAGAACCACCTATTTCAGGAATTAGCGAGACCGTTCAACTAAACAAAACACTTTCTAAGTCACCCACAAGTACCACCATTAACAATAAAAATGAAAGTGAATACATCGAGCAGTCAACGTTAATATCCATGACACAACAGCAACCGGAGGCAGAAAACGGCGCTTCCATTGAAGAAGACATATACGGAACTCGAGAGGATTTCATTGATCATTACAAGGTGAATGTCGTTCAGCACGATACGACCAAGATCCCTTCATTTTCCGAAGACGAAATATCCTACGTAGAAGATGAAGGACCATCAAATGTCTGGTCTGACGGTTTCAGCAATCAAGCAGAAAGCATCTTCTTCCAAGGCGATATGCACCCCACCATTAACAGACCAAGAAGGGTCTTTTTGCAGGATGATGAAGATGAGGATGACTCTGATAGTGAAGATAAAGATAATGAAGCTGATTGTTAGTTTTTTTAGAGAGTTTGAGTGCAGATCGTGATGTCGGAACTAACTGATTGAGAGAAAAAAACCTTGTTGCAAAATTCATTGCAGTTCACTCAAATTAAAAATGTACAATCATCGCCCAACGAATAAATGGATGCAATAAGAGTTACAGGGTTACAAATATTCAAACGCCATTTATTTATTTTTCTATTCTGTTTTGATTTTTTTTTACCAAAACGTTTCTGTTTCACCAACACTGCCTGAAGATTATTTCAAACAACTAGGGGTTTAAAAAATGAAACAGATGTTTTCTATGCACTTCATTTCCATCAGAATATGAAGATATTTCCTTTTGTTTGAAGAATTTGAGTCAGAACAAGATTCACGTGCGAGTTTGCAATTAGAAAAATTAAACTTTTTGTTCGACTTGAGGTTTTGACTAAGCTTCTATAAAGTATTTGATGGATGTAACTTTATAATTTATTAAGATAAGTTTCGTATCACAATTTTATGTGATGCTGTTGTATTATGGTGTATTTCTATTTGTATGCTTATTACACTTGAAATTGCTGTCATTCATTTAGTTTTAGTTGTACAACCTTTGCCAAAATATCCGAACCGTTACAAATTTCACCTAACCTAACCTTTAATTTACTGTTCGTTTTGATTTCAAAGTCTTTGACCTACCTCATATACCTATTCATATTCTAGATCTTCTATTTTCAAGGTTACAAAAGAAAACTGTCTTTAAATTATACGTACCTTTTGTTATTATATTATGAAAATCGAACCTAAACTGTACAATTTTCTTTCACTTCTATTGTTAGTTTCTTCATGGTTAACATTGTTTCTGAATATTTCACAAATCGTCCTTACCTTAGATGCCATATATATCTTTATACTTGGATCAATACTTTTGGAAAACCTCACAAAAATGATCGCCTTATTTCACAAAGTAAAACTATATAAAGAGCAATTACTAGTAAACTATAGACATCTTAGTGATCAGGCATTCAGTGGTGTACAACTAGTTAATTGGATAGTCTGACATACTATAAGCTATAGACATCTCGGTTATCAGATATTCAGTAGTGTTCAAGTAGTGAATTGGATAGTCTAACATACTGTAAACTATAGACATCATAGTGACCAGGTATTCATTGGATAGTCTGACATACTGTAAGCTATAGCCATCTTAGTGATCAGGCATTCAGTACAAGTAGTTAATTGGATGGTCTGACATACTGTTAGCTATAGACATCTTACTGACAAGGTGTTTAGTGGTGTACAAGTAGTGAATTAGATCTGTTCAAAATCTGTTTTTCCGTTAATCAGAGTCTAACATACTGTAAACTATAGACATCTTAGTGATAAGGTATTCATTGGATAGTCTGACAAACTGTAAGCTATAAACATCTCAGCGATCAGGTATTCAGTGTTGTATAAGTACTGAATTGGATAGTCTAACATACTATAAACTAGACATCTTAGTGATCAGGTATTCGTTGGATTGTCTGACATAATGTAAGCTAGATACATCTTAGTGATAAGAGGTATTTAGTGGTGTACAAGCAGTGAATTGGAAAGTCTAACATACTGTAAACTATAGACATCTTAGTGATAAGAGGTATTTAGTGGTGTACAAGCAGTAAATTGGATAGTCTAACATACTGTAAATTATAGACATCTTAGTGATCAGGTATTCAGTGGTGTACAAGAAGTGAGTTGGATAGTCTGACAAACTGTAAGCTAGAGACATCTTAGAGATAAGAGGTATTTAATGGTGTACTAGCAGTGAATTGGATAGTCTAACATACTGTAAACTATAGACATCTTAGTGATCAGGTATTCATTGGATAGTCTGACATACTGTAAGCTAGACATCTTAGTGATAAGAGGTATTTAGTGGTGTACAAGCAGTGAATTGGATAGTCTAACATACTGTAAACTATAGACATCTTAGTGATCAGGTACTCATTGGATAGTCTGACATACTGTAAGCTAGAGACATCTTAGTTATAAGAGGTATTTAATGGTTACAAGCAGTGAATTGAATAGTCTAACATACTATAAACTATAAACATCTTAGTAATCAGGTATTCAGTGGTAAACAAGAAGTGAATTTGGACAGTCTGACATACTGTAAGCTATAGAGATCTTAGTGATCAGGTATTAAGTGTTAATTTATCACAGGCACATAGAAATTTGTCTTGTGATGTAATAACATTCGAGTGTACTTAGTTGACAATCTGTGTTTCCGTTAACCAGCTGTCGCACCCCTACGAACGACAACCCTCAGAAGTTGAAACTTGTGCGAGCTATGGATTAACGAGGTCTCACCTTTTAACGTGTGATTCCTAACACGGTAAAATATATTGAAAATCATGAAATAAATGAAGAAAATCAAACGGAACATATTGTTGACAAAAGTGGTCAATAGAAACGATCAAATAAACAATAAAATATTAGGAGCATACTCACCTATGCAGTTTGGCCAAAGGAAAGTAGATGCACAATTTCTGATGCAACTCGCAAAACTCCTTGTAAGTTCTTTGAATCTGAACGGCGGCGAATCGACATTTCACGGTCATCACGAACACTGGCGGATACATCCGCAATATTTTCTTCGGTCCTCACTCTAAGTATGCGTGTTGTTGGTTTAATGTCCAATAATGTAAACTGGGTTCTAAATTTAGTCACAAGCTTCCGAATAGGCTGACGAAACTGCCCATAAATTGGAAGAAGTGTACGATACACTTTCTTCACCAATCATGAATTTTGATAACAAAATTCAATAATTTGCAAGCGTTGTTAATTTGTAAGTCGTAAGACCAAACCCAACAAGTTTGACAATGACACAAGACACGATTCACGCGTGATCTGTCAAAAACAGTGTTGCCAAAAAGATACCAGCAAAAAAATCACTCATTACGATGTACCGCACTTTTTGAAATGTCTACTGAGTCTGCTAGCTCGCGCACGTTCAGTCGAAGATCATTCAGTACCGCTTTGTGGATTTTCTTCACCATTTCTGGGGTCGTCACCTCATTTGGTCGACCACTACGATACTCGTACGGCCTTGTTTCAACTCTGCTACCCAATATTTTACTGTTGCAAACGGAGGAGCAGAATCCAGTTCAGCTTTTATATTGGTTGGACTGAGGCCTTATTGTACCAATTTTCTCCATTTTCGCAAATTCACCGAAAACGTTCGCTATTGATGGCTGCCAAATAAATATTAAACAATGCAGCGTCTTCAAACTTGAAACATATACTTTATGGGTTGTGTACTTGATGATACAGTGATATTTTGCAAACAAATACCGCCATCTCTAGGTCAGACTTGGTATTTCTAGCACCACCCTCGTAGCTAAGCAAAAATAACCGCTTTTTGTTTAAATTAGCCAATCAGAACAGAATAGAATCGATAGGTGATGACATTCGTATCAAAATATCAATCCTTTGCCAAGTAAATAATTTGATAATCAGAGTTGAATGTACATGTAAATTCCTCGTTGAGTATTATTATCAGACCATTACTTGAGAAGTTACGACATTTATATAAAGCCGTGGATTTGAACAGTGTTCGACGATGAAAAAAGAAAATTACAACTCTAACTTGCACACTTGCGATTCCGGGGCGTATCGCTAGTAATATATAAATTCATTGAAATAAAAAATCATTGAATTTTCTCATTTATAAATAGCGATATCTCCAAATCAGCACTTAATATCCATATTAATCTTTAAGCGAGCTCCTGTTGAATATCACGTTTACTAAATAATCATAATCCTATCGACTATTTCAACTCTTATCAATTCTCAAATGCAATGCGGACAACAAACAACGGGTTTGTCATCGCCCCATCTGCCTGTGAACGAGGTAACCAACCGCATATCCAAAATTTGCCCAATTCCTCGTATAAGGAAAAAACTTTCACATATAGTCAGTGGGCATACTTAGAGACTGGCATTTATAGCCAGTCTTTGGTTTATAAAAAAAACTAATTAATGTGTGATTTTGACTATTTTCACTATATAATATAGTGAAAATCATACAATAGATAGATACATTTATTTCAACAGAGTATTTTATAATCATTCACATGAGTGGCAGAATATTTTTGTCTGAGAAATACGTCAAAAG